AGCTGTAAATTTCCTCTATGTGAAGGTACCAGATTAATGCGCGTACGGAACTAGCTATTCGATACAATGATATTTCGCCGCTGGAGAATCATCACTGCTCTGTGGCCTTCCGCATCCTCAGCACTCCTGAGTACAATATATTTGCCAACGTCGATCCAGAGAGATTTAGATGTATACGACAGGTACGGACGCCGTTGATCTATATGTGCACTGAAACCTTATATAGTGCGCAAGATGATGAACAAAACACGTTGCGTGGATTGGAACACACAAAAACTCGCACCCACACCCACACAGACACTTATGCATTAAACTGTATAAGGTAAAGAAAAGGGATTTACGAGTGTGAAGATCGCCCCCATCCGGGATATTCTGCTGCCTATGCAGGCGCCTTAGCCGATTGAGCTACTGAGGCTTTCGTTGAAAATTTAAATCCGATTATAGGCTACAGTGGTGAATCAGACCAGGGTGACCAGACGAAAAAAATGACGTGACGTACGCCCTCTTTCAGGATATGACAGGATCTCCGAAGATGTACTTTCTTTAATAAATAAATATTACGAGATTAGCGCTTCAACATATAATAAATAACTGATATTTTTCTGATTCTGATTTAGGAAATGATTACTCTGATCCTAGCAACCGACATGGCCAGTCACGGTGACGTCATGAATAAATTTAAAAGTCAGATTGAACAAGGCTTTGATTACAGCAATGAAGACCACCTCAAGTCGGTTAGTTCTTTATCATTTTTGTTATTATTATTATCATCATCACCGTCGTCATGGCGGTGGTGGATTGATGCTAAGGATGACTATGACGAGAATGTTGATGATATTGATGTTGAGGAGGAGAATGATAATAGAAATGTTAATGGTGGTAGTGATGATGATGATGATGATGATGATGATGATGATGATGATGATGATGATGATGATTCTGATGGCTGTGGTGATTAATTAGTAATGATGATTATGATATGATGTGGTTATAATAAAAACGGGTGATTGTTTTTTTTTTTTCAAATACACAGTTGAAGATGGTGTTAATCAAGTGCTGTGACATTTCGAATGAGGTCCGGCCAATGGAGGTTTCTGAACCATGGGTTGACTGCTTACTTACAGAGTACTTCATGCAGGTAAGTTTGTGAAACTAGTTGAAGGAAACCCTGTCTGGGCGGATCATGAGTGTGAATCCACACTTTGGAAACCATATTGTAGGCCTCCTGAATCCTGAAACGAGGGGCTTTAGCCTGGGAAACCTGACTGAAGCCGGTCACTCATTTCGCAATTGTGCAAACGGTGTCGTGTCGCCTGGCGCTTATAAGGAACGGAGTTGGATTCGTCGGTCGACGCATGTGTGACGCAGTGTGCACTAAGGGCTCTGACCAGGGAATTCTGACCTTATGTTGTTCACATAAGCCCGTGGCGATTTTTTAGCTGTTCCTTGACCATTTTTGTGACTAAATAAATGTTGAATATCTTAATTTTTCAACCTCCTAGAGCGATCGTGAGAAGATAGAGGGACTGCCTGTTTCACCTTTCATGGATCGGGATAAGGTTACTAAGTCCACTGCGCAAATCGGCTTTATTAAGTACATACTTATTCCGATGTTCAAATCGGTCGCACTGGTAAGATTAAATAATTTGTATTTGAATAACAATAATTTGCCTTATTATCATTATCATTAATATTATTGAATATGTATTTGCTTATTGGTTTATTCGTTTATTTGTACATTTCGTCACTGTTTTCACGAAGAGACACAAACTTCAATTTCGATTATAACAACGTTTTGAGAAAAACACGTTTGAAGTGAACTACTTCAAAAATCCGTAAATTTTACTATCAAGATATCAAAATTTTGAATATTGATTTACATAAACATTGTTTAAATATAAAGCAACAAACAATTCAAATGTTCAATTTATTTTTCTTTTTTTAACTTTTATTAACCTGTTAATTAGAGTGAAAAGTGTGTGTCTGTTCGTGAAAACGATAAGAATATTGACCTACCCAGCATAGGTTGTTTACGCGTACGGCGAAGTTGATGTCTCTTCGTGAAAACGAAAATCTATTTTTACACGCTGTATGCCTACGCCAGGGCTGGGCATAAAATTCGGTCGGAAGGCCAAAGTGAATGTTTGATTTAACATCGAGGGCCGCACCCAAACTTTTATGTTTCTAGTGAGCTTCCAAAAACCTCCAAGCACTGCTTTTACACAATTCTCAGTTTTAATGTTACTTTTACTTGGAATTCCGTCTTTCCAAGATAAATTATCTTGGAATTCCGTCTTTCCAAGATAAATTAT